GCTATTTGGGCTCTTTTATGGTTTCAAACATAGTGCAGAATTATTTTTTCTAGATATGCAAAAAATAATGATATTTTGATGGGAATTGCATTGAATCTGTAAATCATTTTGGGTAGTTTGGACATTTTAACAACGTTGATTCTGCCAATCCATGAGCATGATATGTTTTTCCATTTGTTTACATCATCTACAATTTCCTTCCTCGGTGATTCATAGTTCTTTTTGTAGAGATCTTTCACTTCCTTGATTAAATATACTCCTAGGTATTTTATTTTCTTTACAGCTAAAAAGATGTATGTTCATAGCAACCAAAGCAGCGGGGGCATGTGGTCAAGGTGAGTGGACATTGATTGAAAAGTTACTGGGGTATTTTTGTGTTAATGGAAAAGGTTCATGTATTAATAGGGTGGGAGGACATAGTGAGGGATATAGACCTTTAGACTTTTTTCAGGCATCATATTTAAGCTATAAAAAATTCATATACTTAAGTTCATCAAATTTCACTATATTTTCATTTTATATTGATACAAACACAATAAGAAATAGGTAAAGAATAATAATTAAAGAGTAATAGAGACAAGTACATTTTATTTATTAATCCCCTCCCCCTCTCCCCACTGACCATATAACTGACCTATCTTGGCTGCCTATTATTGGTTGTGTTCCAGGTGGAATGTTGGGGTGTCCTCCAGGGTTTGTTGTGGCTGTGGGATCCATGGTTACTGGCCAGAGCCATTGGTGCCTGCAGTGCCATAGAGAGGCTGTGATCCTCTGTGGAGCTGAACTCTGGACTGAACTTTGGGAAGCTGGGCAAGGTGGTGATGAGTCCACAACTGGCTTTCCATAGCCTCCAGTGGGAGACACTGGTTTGTCCACCTCTTATCAGCTTATTGGTGGGTCTCATTCTTTTATTTAGACTTGTTCAATCTATTAGAAGCCAACTTTGTGCAAGGCGTAAAAAGAAGCTCGCAGAAACACTGGCTGCACAAATTAAGAAGAAATGCCAACTCATTGACAAGCTTAGTGCTTCTAAAAAGGAGTATGAGGAGATTGAAGCATCTTTAGAGAATGTCCGGCTGGCGAATAAGTCTTTAAATATACCCAGTCTTATAGACAATTACAAAAAGGTGAAGAGCTCCAACTCAATGCTGATGGAAGAATTAACGTATCTGGTGCAAGAAACAAAAAAGGAGAAATCCAAAGGCTCTAAACAAGAAGAGGCAATGAAGGAGATATTAAAAATGCTGCAGTCCCTAGAAGAGGGTATGAAAATCACCCTGTCACAAGAAGCTTTCCCACAGCTGCCAGGAGGCCAGCAGCCAAGTCCCGCTGGTCTCTTCCCCAGGAGTGGTCCTGGATCTTAAAGCAGAAATGTTCCCTCCCCTTCACTCAGGCCTTCAGAGCTGCCAGACTGCATTCATCCATCTGGACTCCATCTGAGGGTGGTTGAAACAGTGGATCCAGAAGAGCCCCTGTCTTGGCTGCAGTTCCTCCACCTACACAACCTGGACATGGCAGTCACCTTTATCCTGGGTAATTCCTCCAAATCTATTGAACTTCCTCAAACACATCAAGAAATGTGGGAGTTTCTTAATCTTTACAAGAAAGTTTCAATTTTCTTTCATGAGCAGTGGAAAAAATGCTATGTTTAAGAGGCTAATTTTTTCTTCATATTAAAAATTTATTAAAGTTCATTTTTCAAAATAGTTTTTTGCAAGTATTTATGTTAATCTTGTAAGTGAATTATTCATAATTTTTGGTGTGTATATATATATGTTATCTTCACATCTATATATTGTATCTGTTTATGGACTCAATTTCTACAATATATATACAGATATTTTCTAAACAGAGGAATGAAAATTAAAAAAACTCAAAATAAAATGTACTTCAGCTAAAGCATTAAATAGAGTATGACAGGAAATTTCATTTGCCCATACTGTTCAAACCAAATTGGGTAAAAGCCTGATAGATTTTCTTGAATGTTATCTCAAAAAAAAAAAAATGGAAAAGATTTGTGATAAACTAAGAGGTTATATATAGTTCATGTTAAACATGTAAAGACTATATATCAACAAACATAAGTACATACACAGATATGATTTAGAATTTAGTGCCTTTTAACATTTTCAATAGACATATCAAAAATTATATAAGTATTAATAAGGACACGGAAATTTAGGAGTATCCCGTTTCATGTTTCTTTGTGCAGCAATGATTTGTTATAAAGCCACTTGTCTCTGAAATTTCTTCCTGAAAAAATGTACACATGCAGATACAAACATACATGTTATAGTATGTGTTCTTGTATGTTCTTAGCCAATAAGGGCTACACAACCACGTGACATTAAACATGCTCAGCCAATGAGAAATAATACACCAGTTCTTGCTGTCAGAGTGCATTGTACTGTCCTGTCTTGAATTGGGTGTGCTCTGCCTGTATGCTGCTCAGTGCACTGAGGTCTCTCTTTTTCCATATATATAGTTTTATATTTCAAAATAATAAGGGGGTACAAATGTTTTTGTTACAGGGATAAGTTTTATAATGCTTGAGTCAGAGCTATTAGTGTGCCCATCACCAGAATAGTGTTCATTGTACCCATTAGGTAGGTTTTTACCCCTCCGCTCCTTTCTCGGTTTCCCCCTTCTAGATTTCCAATGACTTCCCTCTGTGCCCCTGTGTGCCCATCAATTAGTTCCAACTTATTAGAGAGTACACATAGTATTTGTTTTTCCGTTCCTGAAATACTTCACTTAGGATGATGGTCTTCAGTTCCATATTGCTGCAAAGGACATTAATTCATTTCTTTTTATGGCTGAGTAGTATTCCATGGTATACATATACCACATTTTGTTAATCCACTCATGAAATGATGGGCACTTAGGCTGATTCCGTATCTTTGCGATTGAGAATTGTGATGCAATAAACATTTGAGTGCAGGTGTCTTTTTGATAATATGACTTCTTTTCCTTTGGGTAGATACCCATTATAATAATTTGCAGTCCCACCAACAGTGTATAAGTGTTCTTTTTTCTCTGCATCTGCACCAGCATTTATTGTTTTTGGACTTTTTAATAAAAGCCATTCTAACTGGGGGAGCCAAAAGCACATAAAATACAACTATTTACAAAGTAATGGGAACATATTTAAACTTAATAATAACAGATAAATAAAAATTACACTCTTCACCTGTTTAATTAATGTTATGTTTAAATACTATTTTACTCAATACTGCCAATCATGTGTTTAGACATGTGCTGTCAATATTTTTGGCAAATCAAAAATTTTGTAGCATTTTGGAAAGCAGTTTGCATTAAGAGTGATAAAATACCCATATCCTTTGACTGTGTAATCCCATCTACTGGCAATTGGTCACCAGAAAATAGCTTAAAATATAGATAATAACACCTTCCGCTATTACTCATGACTGCAGACATACAACAACTTAGAGAGGCAATATTAGAGGACAGGTTAGCTCAACTATGTCACATCCTACGTGGTATGATTACATTGGCATTAAATGTGATGTTTTTAAAAAAGATTTTAAATTATTGGGGCAAATGCATATGTTAAAATGCCAAATGAAAAAGATGATAATCTGTGTGTGTGTGCGTGTGTGTGTGTATGTATAATGTGCTCACATTGTAAAAAAATGTATGACAAAAAGACGGAAACTTTCTAATTCATGTAGCATGAAAACAGCTACCTGCTTCTGAATCTCTTTCACTTATTTTTCAAACACATACAAAGCAAAAAAAAAAAAGGAAGCAGATATTCTCACAACAAACATCTGTCATGTAACTCAACAATAAAGGCCCACAAACTCTAACTTACATATAAGCAAGATGAAAAAAATGTGAAATAAGAATATTTTTTACGCCATACACATTCGCTAAGTTAAACATTTCACTGTGTTGGTACCTATAAAAAAATAGGAATATTTTTATGGAAGTGAATAGTCATACAATCTTGGAAACAATTTTGGAATTATATGATAAAGTTGAAAAAACACACATCTGATGATTCAGGAATTTCACTTTTAATTATACATCTAGAAACATAGCATCATTATACTAAAAAGGGAACCAAACTCAATTTCCATTGACAGGAGAATAGATCAATAATTGTGATGTAACCAATCAAGGAAATACTATAAAACAGTGCAAGTGAATGAAATAGGGTTGCAAATGTCCGTGTAACTGAGTTTTATAAATGTAATCTTGGGCAATCTCTCCCCTGACCTGACTGTGGAAAAATACAGCATTATAGGAGTCATATAAATTTTAAAACATGTAAACAATACTACATATTTTCAGAATATATTAAAACATTTAAAAAGGGAAGTATAAACACGAAATTAAGCAGAGTGGTCATCTCTGGTAGGAAGGGTCAGAGGGCAGGAGGGGACGCACTCAGGCATAGGTACAGAGGTGGCTGTAATTGTGTGTCAAAAAAAAATGTTATTGCTTAAGCAGGGTAATGGGAATTTGGTTGTTTACCAGATTATACTTTTTTGTGTGTTTTAAATGTTTCCTAATACATTTTTTAAAAATGATGTGCAGGGGACAGGGTATGTGATGTGTGAAATAGTGTGCGATGGGGGTTCAGAGGTGGGCAGAGGCCGGAAAGCTCAGCGACTCCCGGGCCTTGGAAAGGACTTGGGATTTTACTCTACAGGGAGTGGGGATGCCGTTTAGGGGTTCTGAGCAGGATAGTGGTATAAACAGGTTGACATTTTGGAAAGAACATTCTGGCTACCTTGTGAAGTATGAATCAGAGGGGGCAAAGGTGGAAGTTGGGAGAACCAGTTGTGTGCAGTCCTCCTCAGGGATGAGGGTGGGATCGTCATTCATATTTCCACATCCGACACTGAGCAGGGGACATAAAAGGCAGTCAACACTACGAATTGCGGTATTATAACTAGGATTAATTTAGGGATATTTGTAATCTTTCTTTCTTTACAAACACTAGTGGCTACAAAATTAGATATACCACATCTGCTTTTCAAAGACTACTGTCTCGTTCATTTCTCAATTCATATTTTAAAGTTCACATCCTGACTTTTCTCTTTCCCCTTTGTCTGTGTAATCTAATATCTTTCTACTTCCATTACAGCCTTACTCTACGTCCAGACTGCTCATCTCGCTTTCTGCCTCTCCGTGTTGGTCTCAGCTGCCCTCTTTCTATAATTTCTCCTTCCTCCTCTTTCCTCATCCACCAGCACTGAGGACCTTCAAGATCTGGATCCCAACTTGCCTCTTCCAAACTGTGACCTTCTTCATCCCTCAAAGACCACTTCTTTTGCTTTCCTAATATTTTGACCATTGCCCCCAGTGGCTTTATTCTCACTTATCCACCTGACCTTGCCTACCTGCCTCCTCCCTACTAGCGTCCCAGTGCTGAATTCACTGCTGCCTCCCTTGGGCCTGCCTTGGTCCCGCCTTGGTCCCCATCATTGTCCCAGATCCAAGCCTGACTCAGACAGGAATTCTGTGAGCTGCTCCACCTCCATAGCTCCCTTGTCTTTTACCACCCCACCCCAAGTGAGATGAGGAAATAAGCCAAGATCTCATCTTGAACTCTGGGTCTGCTGGGTCTGCACCACCCACTGGACCTCCAGTTAGGCTGCTGCAGCCCTGAACAGGACTATGATGTCCCACCACTGAGCCCTTGGACTCCCCTCTAATCCTAGTTTTAGAGTTGACCCCAATCTGGGACCCAGATCTGATAACCTAGTTATGGTTCTGAACCTTACAAGCCCCAATTTCTTCACTTCACATACCTGAAATTTTCTGGGATTTCCATTCTGAGTGCTCATTCCAATAACCAATTTATTTGTTGCAATTTTTTTTTTTATGAGGAATGGAGCCCTGCCTTATTCTTCTTGTGCCCATCTCTGCAAGCTGTAGGCCCTTTTGGTGGGTGAACCTCATCTCCCATATCTAGGGCCCTGCTGTCTTCAACAAAGATTTGGACTACATGGCTGATTGCCAATCCCCATGCTCTGTGAATGTCCTAATAGTTGTCTGATGCTTGGGCAAGACTTGCAGGGTCAGCATGGATAATGACCCATGCCTTATTTATAGCCTGAATTCCAGCAATCTCTATTTCTGTGGGCGGGTCTAATTCCTGGCTTCGCTGCCAGTAAACATCCATACTTCCCCGATGAATCTTGGCATACATCACCAGAATCTCTAAAGGTATGACAGTTCTGTGATCTTTATGATGAACTTGACCTCCAAGTTGTCTTTCACTTTTTCTGAGCATCCTCCTTAGGGAATGGTGCGGTACACAACAGACAATTAATATATGGTTATAGACAAGAAATGGAGAGCTTGAGAGCCACACACTCTAATCTTAGCT